GCCAAAAATCGAAAAGAAAATCGCAATCGAAATGTAATAATAAACCCGTGAATTAAATGTGGTCGGAAGGAAATTGGAATCCAAAATATGTTTCGAAAAATATTTCAAAAACTATTAAAAAGTTTCTTTTACACCGGATCTTCATTAACTACAGCACAACCAGTTGCTAGTTTTCTTACCCCACTCCTTTAAGCTTGAATAGTGATCCAAAATGTTAAACAACGAGTCCATTAGCTATGAGCGAGCACAATTCAGGGGTGGAGTTCGAGTATTCTGTGCATTTTTGTATATTAAGTATGAACATTATCAACATTATTAGCATTATTGTCAGGGCTCCACAGTGCAACGGGCAGCGGGCAGCGGGCATGCGGCTGGCGTGTGGGCAGATCTGCTGTATTATGTAATATAGAGTCAAAAGGAAATGTTGGGACAGGTGGGTGTGGAATAGTGGAGAGGGGGTTTGGTGTAGTGCCATTGGCAGTGGTTTTTGCCAACTAACCAACCCGTTCGTTGTCATCAAATGCAAAAATCGCGAGGCGAGCTTCCTTTTCCTTTCACAGTGCTGCTGCACAAAATTTCCAAAAATTCTATTATTATTAATAGAGGCAAAAGGAGTGAAGGGCAGGGTTGCAGAAGGGCAGACGGTGGGTCTGACAGCCAAATGAATGCCAGGCTAGGCAAAGGCGACCATGACGACTGCCATGGTTAAAGTGGCAGAGCAGAAGAACAGCAACAGGAGTAGAGCAGAAGGATGCCAGTATCTGGTCGTGTCGCACCATGGCGTGCGTTTGTCTCTTGCCCAAAAGTAGACTACAATAACCCGAAAAATGCACACAGTTTGCATTATAATGCGAAATTTTCGATTGCTCATTTGTGGCATTTACTTTTTACTATAAAAGTTTTATAGCCAGGCGGCTGAAGATGGCGCAACCAGCGACGACAACGACAACGACGACAGCTACAAAATTTTTGCACAATGTCATCAACGTGGCTGAGAACGCCAGCAGGGAGGGGGGCAATGTATAGGTTTGGGCGGCCATTCGGTCCGGTTTTTGATGGAGGGGGGGGGGGGGGGGGGGGTGTTATTTTGCCAGCCTCAGTCACCCACTCTGCATGTCTGCCAGTCTCTGCTGCCACGCCAAGCCCTGCCTTACAATTGTGTGCAACTCTGGCCGCACTAAACTTAAAGGATTACTTTTGGCTAATTTCGCTTGGGTATGGCCACAGGCTGGCATCCTGGCAAGACGGCACAACAATTGTCTCGCTAAAAACTCAAGGAACCGTCCAAACGGTCGCTTGTTAAGGCATTTAGTCCCCAGACTCGCTTTGATGTTGCACAAAGAGTTGCTGCATTCAGGCTGCCACAAAAGAAACTATTAAGCACATGGCATACGATGTATCGTAATATGTTTCTGTTTCAGCTGTTCTTTGCTAAAAGTTCACAATATTATTATTATTTTCAATACATGATTTGTGATTCATAATAAAAATCGTGAGGTTGTTTTTCGTGCATTTTAAAATTATTGGTTGCAAATGAACTAAGCCAAGTTTTAACACAAATTGTCGTGATTATATTATTTGAAGAATTACAAAGTTTTTGATAAAATCAAAACTCATATCAGCTTTCTGGGAATCCCGCTCCAATTGATAGTAGCAGGTTTTCATACTCTTTCTTCGATATACATATATATACAATAAAAAACGACAACATGAACATATATCGAATTGCCAATTATATGACTATCACTAGAGGGCTTATTGTGTCCAAAGTAGATCCTTAAAGATTCCTCTGATTCGTTTCTTTATTTAACCTATTCACTTCATATATATTTATACCCTGTACACAATACAAATGGTTTTAAATGCACAATTGCGGAATCGTCTGACTGCATTGGCCCCACAGTCTTTGAGCTTACGTAAATCATATGGATCAAGTAGAAATTTGAAGTCTGGACCTTGAGCAGAAAGTGCTTCTTTATATAGGCTGCCCCAATTCAAAATGCCCATAAAGACACCTACATACATTTTACTTTTCATCATATCCATATCTTTGTCAAGCTTTTTAATACTTTTTTCTTTTTTCCTATGCCTATATATATATATTTGGTTGTTGTTTGTTTTTGCTTTTACAGTCTCATATTAATTTTTATTTTTTGACTCCTTTAGTATTATCTATGTATAAAAATTGGGTTTTAATTTATAAGGAATTTCATATATAAGACACTTACTAAAAACTACTCTCCCATATGACATAAAAACGTGAGCTGTATTAAAGCTTAGAGTCTTATATATGTATATATTTTAAAGTTTGATTTTGGATTTCCACAGAAAGTTGTTCAACTAAACCAGAAAGCACAACATTCTTCCTTACATATATTTAACCCATACGTAAAAATATTTAATTTTATGTTCTAATACAAAAGCTTTATTTCCCACCAGTTATTGCTATAGGGCTATATGCTATAGAACTCCATTTCGAATAAGAATTTAAGAACATACAAGTTTTTCATCCAAGAACTTAATCGAGCAGCTATAGATACAATGGTCGGATCCTACCTATAGAAAATAGAAACAAGCCGGCGGACATGGCTATAATGACTCGGCTTTTTCTTTTGATAAATAATATTAATACCTCATGGAATTGTCGGAGACGTCTCCTTCCATGCTTTTAATACTCTTTCCAAGGCGTATAGGAAAAATTTAAATAATCATACCAAGCAAAAACTTAAGATCCGCTAGGAACAGCAACGCTTAAACAGATATCCAGCCCATCGCTTAGCATAACTGATAATCCATTATCATTAAACACACACACACACACACACACACACACACAAACAGACGCGCGCACGCATAAGGATATACCTTTGGCTTTTACCGAGGGTTCAGCTGTACACTTCACCCCCTCCACAGGCACTAACCAGGTGGATTAAGCACAACAACGTCGCAGTCAGCCACATCGTTTGCCTCCTCCTATGCCCAGCCATTTGCTTATATTAAAACCATTTTTCGCTTATTACCAAAAAATTTAAATATTTTGAAAATAATAAACTGCGGGTGAGTTACTAAGTGGCTGGGTGGTTTGGGTGGCCTGGAACCGAGCCCATCTCGTAAGCATTGGCATTGGCATTGGCATCGACAACAGTGGCAGCCGCAGCGACGCCCAAAATTGAGCAAACAATGTTACTGGTTGTTGGACTGCGTTCGAGTTGCCAGTTTGAGTTAGAGTCTTGGGCGGCAACATCATCATCATCATCAGCAGCAGCAGCAGCAGCAGCGGCAGCGGCAGCGCGAGCGGAAGCGGGCATGCGCTGGGCCACCTTTTAACCCAGCCATGCCATTGCTAATCCTCCAACCCAAAAACCAAACCAAACGTCGCCGCCGCCACCGCCGCCGCGCCCAGTGCGCTATCAGCGTGCCTCGTGTTGATTGTCGCGCGTTGCCATCAATGTGCCACCCAGATGCCAGCCAAATATCCCGCACCCCCTGCTCCAGCTCCAGCTCCAGCGCCAGCTTCAGCTCCTGCTGCCACTCGCTGTATCCATTTAGCCGGTGTTGCGGGTCGCCTCGAAGCTGTGCTCATGATGAGCAACATGCGATTCAGCGTCCGGCCAACCTCCTGATGCTGATGAGGATGATGCTGATGCTGATGCCGATGCTGATGATGATGATGCCGTTGATGGTCGACGTCGCATAGTGTCATATTTTTATGATTTTTATGTTAATTCATAACCAGCCCGCATCGCGGTTGTCTGAGTTCGCAGTCGCTGCCAAATGCTTTTTAATCCTTTTAATGAAAATTAGTTCCTCTCAATATCATTTAATATATTTTCTTTCGCTTGGGTTTCATTACAATCCCCCCGCCACCATCACCCTGCACCCTCTCCGCACTCTCTTACTATCCTGTTCTGTTGTTTTCACAGGCATTATCATAATTTCTGTTTGCAACCCTAAATCAACACTTGCCCCATGCTGCGCGTCTCGATAAAGGGTTACTGACTGGCCCGGAACGTGGCACACTCAGGAGGATGGGAGGGGACACTCTCGTTTTGGCGTACATACATATATCACAAGTCGCTTCTGCTGCTCCTGTGCCAACTGCGAAGTGCCTTTGTCTCCGACCTTTTGCGTTTGATTTTCTATACGGCGTTAAATGCCGTCGCCGTCGCCGTCGTCGTGTTCGTCGTCGTCATCGTTCACGTGGCTTCTTTGGCAAATTGAAAACCCAAAAGCAGTAAAAATTAATGTCCGTAGCGAAGGTGTTGCCATATTTCTTGCCAAGTGCCAGAGCAATGCGCGCCTTTTACCAGCAACTAAGTATCTAAAGCAAGCGCATCTGTGATGCCTTCGACTTGGATCACGCGATATATATATGCATTATAATACTAGTTGAAAATTTGAAAGGCATAATAGCTGTTGAATTTTAGTTCTTAAAGTTGACATTCCCTGCATTATTTTTAGGGAAGAACCATAGTGTACAAGCATGCCATTATCTATATATTTCTTGAAAAGTTATGGGAGCGACTGTATCATAAAACCTATATTTAAAATATTTTATAATACCAATCTTTCGCCAAAGATACATCTACCTTTTCTTGAAGGTTTTTTTTAATAACTATGATAATATCAATATTTGTAAAACTGTAGAATAGTACATGTCTAGTTCTTCGAAAAAATATTGGTACAATTATATTACAACAATATTTATTGTAGATTGCCATACCATTATTCTACCAAAACTAATACATTGCAAATATCTGCCTACCTCTTGGAAAGCTCAATGGAACGATTATATTATACCAATATCTATAATATATTATACTCTACCCATATTATGGAAAACTTTATAGAGCGACTATATTATAATCCTTCGATTTAATATAAAATATATTATATATATATATTATACCAGCATTCCGCCATAGATACGGAATTTAATCGCACACTTTTCCAACCAATTTCCAATGAATAAATATTTAAAGTAAAAAAATAGGCATCAATTCCGTTGCATAGTCTTTATTTTGATGTGTAGGCAACTTTTTTCAAATTATCATCGGCTTAGAGCGAATGCCTTTAATTTGAAGCAAAAAAGAAACAGAAAAATGAATTTATTGCATATACATACTGTTTTATGTATATATCAATAAAGAAACTGCTGCAATTGTAGGTACTTTTAAAATTGCCATTTTGGTTCAAATATATATACATATGGATATATATATGCATATAAATATATAGTTATATATATATACATCTAGATATTAGGATCACACCAGATCGGAGAAGTCGCCTCAGCCATTGGTCATTGACTGCTCGCTACGTATCGCACGAAAAACTACACAACCTGTATACGCCGTCTATCCATTTTTTGTCTGGTAACTTTTTGTTTTTCTGTTCCTCTTTGTTTTTGCTCAGTAAAATGTGCTTTTAGTAGCATCGACTTGCGTCGGCTGATGGGATTATGGAGCGCGAGGAGCACGCATAGGATTTATGGAGCATTTTTAGGGGGGTTGCGATTCGGGGGATTGAAGATGCTGGGTACATAAAGTGTGCTAATTTATACACTTTTCATAAGCAATTTGGTTGGCTATGGCCGTCATGATTCGCTGATATCGAGGCATTTCGATTAGCATATAGATGGGATTGGGTAAGTGCCAAGGTAAGGTAACGTATCTTAAAATTTATAGCATTGTTATTTCCTATCCTTTGGCTGATCGCGCTTAGCCTTGCGGTCGGACCTGGCATCCGATTTCGACTTTCCTCCCAGCCCATGTTCAACTAACTTGTCGGCCTTCTCCTGATCGCGTTTGTGGTAGGCCAAATAAGCCCGGCGGCGTCTATTGGTAGCGATGCGCACAGCTGCCTCCCAGTCGTGTCCCATGGCATCCCGAGTGCGCTCGTCCGGACTGCGCATAAACTGTTTGCGCAGCGAGTGCGGCTCGGTCAGTCCAAAGTCGGGCTTGTAGCGTCTGGGGTCGCGCGGTCGCAGCCATTTAGTATCCAATCGCTGTGGATCGTTCCACATATTATCTTCACGCATTATGTGCCGCGGTCGATTCATATCCACTCCTATGCTGGTCTTGCCAGAGGTGCCACTTCTGCCGGTGGTGCCGCTCTCGGTTCTGGTGCTGGTGCTGGGGCCGGTGGAGCTGATGCTTTTGCTGGTCTTGCCACTGCCAACTTTTGCCGGTTCCGCTGCCATCTTGCTAATGTTTCCGCTTCTATTCGCTCCTTTCTTCGAGCTATGGGCAGCAATATGGCGCTTAAGCATTGTATGTTTCAGCAGCCGTGGTACAGCTGGCCGTCTCCACAAACAGCCGATGAATCCAACCGGTGAACGCTGCATGATTCGTAACCTTCTGTCGGGACATCGATTGGGAATCGATTGAGAGAGTTGGTTAAAGCTGAATGCATGTCTTTATCATTTACCTGTACTCTAAAATTTCACTTTTGAAATATCAAAAACGAAATTATATTTTTTTATGTTTAATTTTTTATGTTTTATCGTTATTTTCAAACCGGAATTTTTGAACTTTTTTCAACTTTCAGAAAATATTTTTTGCTCACATGTGATCTGTACTTTAAATGGGAACCGAATGAGCTCCTAGCTAACAGCTCTATTGAAATTGGGCATTTCAAAAGGCAACGCCTGCTAAGCAAACAAAAAAAAACACCTCAACTATTAGCCCAACAAAAACTAACTCGATTGCTGAAAAAGAGAAAGCAAATATCAATTCAGTTCAATATTTCAGTTTATAATTATTTCAAGCAATATCTTTGCAGACATAGTGCAACTGAGCTATATATTTGTAATAGGTTACAAATCGCTTTGGGTAAAGGGTAAATATAGAAATTCTGGAAAAGCAACAGACAAGCAGATGGGATAAACAATTATCAACTCAGCTCCTCGTGCTGGTCAAGAGTTTATGTACATATAATATGAATTCCTCAAAGCGTCTTGATAAGAAGAATTACATAGAAGAACAGGGCAGATTATGTGGACTTTAATGCCATTCTTTTGCAGTTAACCCGATGAAAGGTCACGCATTTGAAGGAAACTGAGGTCCCCAGCTTGTGCAGCACATTTCTATAAATGTTACAATTATAATGCGGCTTGGTTGGTTAATAACAGGCGGGACAGGCTGTTGAAGGCTGTTCTAAAAGAAATTGCACATCCGCTACAAGCGAAACCATTAACTGCCTGAGTGAGCGGCGGCACTTGAAGCAGAAACCAGTGCGACTTAAACGCAGACACTTGAACTCTTTTTGATTTTACGTATTCATATATTTGAGCGTGTGTGTGTGTGTGTGGGTGTGGGTGTGCTTGCCGCACAATTGCACAATTATGTTAAATATCGACAAGTGGCCTAGAGGCCAGAAGACGCTTTTGTTGTACCGCTGCAAATATTAATGACGACAGGTATTAAATACTCGAAGCCAGCCACAGTCGCAGCTACGCAGCAGCAACAGAAGCAGCAGCAGCTGTGGCAGCAGCAGTTGCAACAATCGAAACGATTTCCCATGCCAACGCATGCAATGCAGGTTGAGTGGTTTATAATTTTGTGGAGCTTTGTTGCAGCATCTAGCTAACTGGGTGAAGTGCTTGGCTCCAACCTCGCCCAGCAGGCAAGGGACTTGGCAGTAATAATTTCGAGTGCCGGCCACGTGCATGCGTCTTGGGCTAAGTCGACAAAAGCTACATGATAGAGTAGTCCTATTCGGTTAGTAATCGGATTATTATAGTACTAGACGAAATAACTAAGAGTCCCCGAGGTCAAATGAATAATGCTGAAAATGCAAGTGCTGCTGCGCTTTAGACTAATTAGTCAAAAAAAAACAAATAAAAATAGCACACATATAATGATTAAGACTAACAACAAAATATTTCGTCGGTGCCTCGGTGCTTCAAGCACTTTATGCTCAGTGTGCCAGGAATTGGCTAACGCTTGCCAGAATATATATGATATAAATCCTTAGCAGACATTAGATTTTCCATTCATTTAGTTGCTTAAATTTATGTAAATTGTTTCTTTCTGTGTGAATAATAACAAGCTATATTAATACGCATTTAGAGAGCTGCTAAAAATTGTTTTAGAAATTCCTGTATTGTTGAAGACCAATCTAGGCAGAGAGGTAAATCCTGAAGTGTCGCCAAATAAGTAGAGTTCCCAAAAAGTTTCTTAAATAATTACATCAAGTGCAAAAGAATTCTACAACATTTCCGTATAAATATCCAAATTAAATTAAGGGGGGACAATAATTCTCTAAAAGAATGCAGCAAGGTAAATTTGATAGGCATAAATAATAAATGAAATAATCCCCGAACTTTGTAGAAAACCTGAAAAAATTCCGAATAATATGATGTGGAGGGTATTAATGCAACTAAAGAACTCCGAGAGAATTATCATTACGTTCAATCATAATTCCTCAAACTTCGCAGAAAAATTCCGAAAGGATTCCGAAAAAAATAATGTGAGGGACATTAGTTCAGATGGGGGATTCGGAGAGAATTAAGGTAAGGTTCCAGGATAATTCCCGAAAATTCGCAGACGAATTCCTAAAGATAAAAATAAAACTTTAAGGGGGACATGAGTTCAGCTGAAGAGTTCGGAGAGAATTATGGTAAGGTTGCAGCATAATTCCTCAAAAATCGCAGAAAAGGTACGAAGGAATTCCGAATTTCCCGGATAATTTCTGAAAGAATTCCGAAAAAAATGATGTGGGCTTCAGGATAATTTCGCCAAATTTGCAGACTATTTTGAAAGACGCTCGAATCAATCTCAAATAATATGGAAACCACCTTGAAAAAAATCCTGCACCGAAGTCCGCTTATGCATTTATTTTAGATAATGTGTCACATATCCGACTATTTCTTTAATATTATGCTAAACAATTTGAATTCCTTATCGAATTATCACCTATAGATTTGTTTAGGTTAATTGATTAAATTAATGTTACTACATATACTCTGATATACGCGTATTCTGTAGACCAACAGCTCGACGGTCGAGTTGAAGTCCGAGTTGGAATCCGTCTTGAAGAGAGTTTCATGAAATACGCGCGTTACTTAATTATGCAATCTAAATGCATTGAATCACCCCAACCAAGTGACAATAATCATAATGACAGCAGCCAACGGGCTGAAAGGTGAATATTATGGTTGAGCCTGGAGGGGGGAATAGGGATCGTGGTTGGGATTGATATTTGGGGATGGGGTATGGGGTGCTTGGAATTGCCAACAGTGTATAGAAACAACGATTGCCAAGGCTTTCACGAAGCTACGCCAAAAATGTTAACTCATTTGTTGTCCTTTTGCTCAGTGTGGCAGGTTGGCGGCCAGGCAAACCGCACAACAGTCTCAAGTCTGCGGGGCAGGTGTTATGCTCATTCCAATTGTTGTTGCTGCTGCTGCTGGTGCTGGTGCTGGTGCTGGTGCTGCTGGTGCTGGTGGTGCTGCCAGGTCCGCATCCTCAACAGACGACAAATCTTTGCAATTTATTTACGTGCCATTTCGTAGCAAAATTTTCGTTAGATTTCTTTGGCTTGGCGGAATTCCAAGACAGCAACCCAGCAATAGGGAAGAGCTGTCGACGTTGTCGTTGGAGTCGTAGTCGTTGGGCGGCTCACAAAAGTCATGACGCGCTGATGACGTTGCCAGTAGAAGGATTTAATGGCACATTAAGAATTTTATTACCGCACACAACAACAACAACAACAACAGCAGTACGGCATCTATTGAGGAGTGCGAAGGTGGGGCCGTAATAGTCATCATCCCGCAGCAAAAGCCATTGCACACCTTGGCAGAAAAATTTTTGGCGCGCGTACACAGAAAATTTTGACAGGACCATCGTTGGGTGCCATGAAAATCTTTCAGAGTCAACAACTTTTCTTCCCTCTTTTTTTCGGCGCTTGCACGGATTTCACGAATCTGACTACCCATGCCAAAGCCGTTGTCATTATTACAAGTTTTGCATAAATGAATAAATGACATTTATGTATTCCATTTAGCCAGCACAGCATATACACTCGCTGCCAAACTGACTGACAGCCAGTCGGTAGTCATTTGTCGCCCGAATCCTCAAATCTGCTTGGCCATTGTTGAGAAGATTGAGAAACCCTTACCAGTAAACCGAACTCGCTGTCCATCAAGTTCCACGAAGTGGCTTAACCTAGTGTATGGAGCAGCCAACTCTTGCTGTTGGGTGTCAGCAAATTTTCGTACAACAGTTCAACCGCATTTTGAGCTTTGAATTTTACGTTTAATTGAATTAATTTCTAAAGAATATGCACATTAAGATCTTGACTATAAGACGAAGCATTTTTTACCTCCCTCTTTTTGGCATTAAAGATGGGCACAGGTCTCATTAATGGGGCCTGGTCCTTGAAGAAACGTGCTCTTAATAGAACAAATTTCTTTTTTTCAGTAAACATTAAACAAATTGTTTGGAAAATAAAGTATTAGTACAAACTTAATAGAATTGTTTGAGCTAAAATGGGTTCAAGCAATATATCTTATCATTTTGGGAATAGTTTATTATCTTTGGTATGGTTTAGTATATATAGAATAGTGTTCTAATCTAATAAATATAAAAAGCAGCCAAAAGATGAGTAATTATATGCACATTTTATAATATATCTTGTCATATTTATATATGCATGTATATGTATTTTTGCAAGAGTTTTCTTTTTTAGCACTTCAATGAAGTTTATTCAAAATAAGTGTTACCAGATTTTTACGATGAATATGGAAATAGTTTTCCTCAGAAGGTTTTTTCACACGAAAATATAAAAGGAATAATAATAATAATAATTAAAATAATTCAAACTTTTTTTGTTTAAAAGTAAATGCGATAAATGTTCCACCTACTTTTCTCTATTTTTCGTAATTCTAGCATCCATTTGTACCTGAAGTGGTTCCATTTGTATGCCTGTTTTGCCAATTATGGTTTTATAAGGACCTGGCAAACAGCTGCGGCACCCCTCTGCCTGGGCTGTGGAATGGGGTGGCAATTAACGCCACCCCCCCCCCCCTTCCACCCCATGCCTTTGAGCAGCAACAAGAGTTTTGTAAGGCAATAGACTTTTTTATTTATCTGCAATTTAGTTTTTGTTTTGTTTTTATTCACTTTCTTTTTGTGTGCAACCCTTTGAATGTTACCTTCCCACATTAGTACTGGCAACCCTGTCCCCTCTCCCCTCTCCACCAGGTCTATGCGCCATTTTTTTTTTAAGCTAACCCATCGCGTGCTACTTAATTTGAATTGCACTAGCGGCCAGGCGGCCAGACGGGGAGCACAAAAGATTTGTACGTGTTGTTACTTGATGAGGTTCCTAAGTGTCAAACACCCACCCCCCCCCCCCCACGCTCACTTCCTCCGCAGCACCCAGCCAGCATTAGCCCAACCCGATGCCGGGCACTCACAGACTGTGTAAGAGAAAGGGATAGAAAGAGAGTATGGAAAAGAAATAGCGAAAATAGGCATTACAATTAAAGCAAAAAAGAGACGAAAAAAGCTCACTACACACAGAAAACAGAAGGCTGCCGGCCCCATTACGCGCCCCTTGCCCCCTTCCTTTGACTAGGCATCCGCCTCTGCATG